TATCCACACCAAATTTCAACTCAGCAACTCACGGCTTAGGGGTGGATTTTATTTTTTTTTCACCTAACATAGCGAATTTCGCCTATTTTTAAAAGGGGTTGATTCCCCTTCATGTGTAGCACTCAAATTTTAACGAAAATCAACTTAGGGATGCTGATGTTATATCCACACCAAATTTCAACTCAGCAACTCACGGCTAAGGGGTGGATTTTATTGTTTTTTTCATCCAACATAGCGAATTCCACCTATTTTTATTAGGGGTTGACCCCCTTTCATGTGTAGCACTCTAATTTTAACGAAAATCAACTTAGGGATGTCGAAACTATATTCCCACCAAATTTCAACTCAGCAACTCACGGCTAAGGGGTGGATTTTTATTACTTTTTTCACCTAACATAGCGAATTCTACCTACTTTTATTAGGGGTTGACCCCCCTTCATGTGTAGCACTGTAATTTTAACGAAAATCAACTTAGGGATGTTGAAGCTATATTCACACCAAATTTCAACCCTGCAACTCACGGCTAAGGGGATGGTTTTGTTTATTTTTAAAGCCGAGACGTTTTTACCCTATTTTATTAGCAGTTTCAAAATTTATTCTGGGATAAACAGCAGGTAGTGACCTTCATAACATTCATTTAACACAACATGATCATATTTTCTATGTTCAATCCGTTTCAATGTGCGTTTTAATCTTAGCGACGGATTTGCGACCGTGGTGTAATTGACAAAATCCGTCGCTGAAAAGTCGTCGCTAACTTCACTCCAATTCTTTTTTTAATGTTTTTAATAAATTAAATTTGGTTATAAAGATTTTCAAGTAAAGTCAGGAAAATTACTAGATTAAAATTTCTTTTGTTGTTAATCAATATAAAGTTTTAGAGTTATTTTTGTAGCTAAACTTTGTTTGTTCCAATTTATTTCAACTTTAATTCTGTTTATTAATTTTAGATTGTATTTTATTTTTTTTGCTATTGTTTCGTTTGTCTTTAATTCATTAAATTTATTATTTAAATTTAACTTGATTTCTTTCATTTTTCTTAATTTCATTTAACTTTGCTCCCTAAATCCAAGCCGGCGTGACAAGGTTCTGCTTGTCGCATACACCTTTAGCACGCCTACACAACAAAGTAAGAGCCGCTCCTTACACTTTCCAACCGTGTGCTTAGTTTTTCGATATCTTTCTAGATAACGAAGATATGGCACACTGTTAGGAAGTTATGAATATCTGGCCAAAAATCTAACTACAACTAAATGAAGTTGAAAATGTTTAATACCATTATAATATCCCCTTAATGGTTAGCTAGGATTTATTTAATCTATAAACAGTGCTTAAAACAAAATTTAGGATTTTGAAACGAATATTAGAAAATAAAAGCGAAAAAAAGTTTTTGTTGTGGGTTGGGTTGGATGTTTAAGCTAATGTAGTTCCGAAAACATGGTACATTTATTTCATGTACCCTAACAATAAGTAATATATACTTATATACTATAATATATACAGGATGTCTCACGTAACTGGTTCATTAAAACTTTTTAAAGTTCCACTATTCATAGAGATTTGAAATTTTGGTATTCTTCATTCGGAACTTTCGATTTAAACATTTTGAAGATGGCTGCCACTTTCGGTCTACCGGAAGTAGATCATAACTTCGTTATTTTAAATGAAATGCTATAATTTTTATTACACTTTTTAATTGTACATAATAGTTATTTATATTACAAGTGGGCTAGAAACATAATTACTGTACTAGTGTGGAGAATTGCACGACGAGGTCGTAGACCGAGTCGTGTAATCACACGAGACATTTATAAAAATATTTTGAAATGATTGTTGACAGTTTTGAAATGTCAGTTTCAACAACATATTTACTCATCTGGAATAAGTGTTTCGAAATGTAAAAACATAACAATTAATGTTTATAATAAATAGTATTGTTTCTCTGTAAGTAGATAGCACTTTTTCTTTTGTATTGTTGCTCGTTTCAATAAATTATGTCTATTGTGATTAGGCTAAAAATGCGTTACGTAATGAAACCAGTGCGGTAATGAACTTTATTACCGCACATTCGTGTTGACAAAAAACTATCGTTTTGACGGTCGCTAAGTACTACGCAAAAGTCAACTTTTAATAGCAGTTTTCGAAAAAAGTTTTAACGAAACAGTTACGTGAGACACTCTGTATACACTGTGTACATAAAGTATGAAATCAATTCGATAAAAATTTGAGGGATATTCTTCCAGAAAAAATTGTTGAATATCTATGTTATATTTTTTAACGCGCATTTTTTGAGATAAAATTGAAATGTACAGGTGTCTCAAAATTGAGATACTATATGTTGATATTTTAAAATAGGTACCCCCATTTTTTGTTGCATTTATGGATTCTACGTAACTTCTGAGTATTTTTCAAGTAGCTGTCTTCGAAAAAGTAGCAGTTAAAAAATACTGTTACTATTTTATTTGCAATAATAGAGTAAACTACGCTATTCTCTGTTTCTGTGTTAATTTGTGACAAATGTTTAATAATATAATGATAACCATAAATTATGTTTTAACCCATAAGCAAATTTAGTATTTTAACATACTGTTTTAAAATTTTTACTTATATTTATTTTTCTTCGTCCTCACTGTGTTTTACAATTTCAATATGAATTGCAATTGACGATAAAAAATTATTTCTTTCCTCATCATTTTCAAAGCAGAGAAGGCTTATAAGTTCTTCAGAAAAATTTTTATTATTCCTTGATTTCTTGCTATAAAATGATGTTAGAATTGGGTCTGAAGATATTAATAGTCTGTTTAAAATGTCTCTATTAGTGTGTATTCTTGATATTTTTCTGGAAAAGTTCTCTCTACACGTTCTAAGGTCTTTATTCCAAGTTTCTTGCGCATCTACTAAAAGCAAGCCAATCTGGATACTTAATGATTTTATTATTAAGTGGCCATGCGCAAGAATTTTTTACAGTGCCGCAGGCATATCATACCAATTGTATAATTGATTGTATAATAGAATTATGTCGTTTGTAAAATTTTTAGATGTAGCAGTGTTCATTTCTTGACAATAATTTTTGTGAAATAGGCATCTGGTTTGCCAATTTAAGGCGTCATTGATTTTCTTCTTTATTACTGTGTGTTGGATAGGTATTTATTAACTAAAAACATATTTCGGACTTGTTTGAAAAGAAGGTAACACAGGTTAATATAACAACATGATATCTGAATCGTTACTCTTTTTTAAAGACGCACGGTTAAGAAAGCTTTTAGTTCTAGATCTAATAATAGAGTTAGTACTAATATTAATTCATAAAAAATAGTTATTCTGAAAAATTGTAAACGATTAATAGTTTCAAAACTAACTTTCAGTATTCACTGTCGAATATCCGTAGACACCAGCCTGTATATTAGCCATTTTATTGAAAATGGGCAAATATGCGCAATTTATTTTTTTGGGAACGGAAAGTATAGGCTTGAAACTGTATAAAAAACAAATTTCAACCTGGGATCTTGTGAGACTTTTTTTGTAGCTTAAATTAAAGTTTAGCATTGCAAATAAAATCTGTTTATGAACAGTGTTGAGAAAAAGATAAATAAATCTAGCATTCAAGAAGCTATTACAGTGTTACATAAACAACAGATACAGTATAAAATTATAGTAAAATTTCATTAGCGTACAACTTTTAATATGTTTACAATCGTTTCTCAATATTAATCTAAAGTTTTTGGAAATTGATATGCAAAATAAGTGTTAACTTCACATGTCATTTTTATCCAGAGTTGAAGTTAATAAAAAGTGGTTATTGCGGAGTAGCGAGTATTACGCTATAACCTAACGATCCCCATTTACCAAAATATTAAAAAAGAAAATTAATAAAATCATGTTATGGCCGGTATTTTCAAACTTGCTAACACTGTGTATGGGCCCGAAAAATAGGTGGAAATATAAGGTGAAAAGTTTGTTGCTGGGCGGTTTGTTGTTATCGTCTCGGTGACAGAAAGTGCACTACACAGTCTCACGTCGCGAACTCGTTCCAATCTAGTATCTAGTATTGGATCCGAATTTTCTTCCATCCAATACAATAATATTATTCGTTGTTATTATTGTATTGTTACTTTAATTTTCCTGGGATTAAAGGTTATTATTATTAACGAAATTTCCATTAGTTTAAATATGCTTTTGCTAAATGGAAGTTCCATGACAGAAGTTTTTCGTTGAAGACGTTATTTTTTCAACTCCGGTTGTACTCTCATTAAAGATATAAATAAAATACAATAAAAATCTAAAAATTTTTGATTTTACACATTTATTTATTTATCCATTATTATTTGTTTTTGCGGTGTCATCCGTTGACTGGCTATTTTTACACATTTACACCTTAACAATTAGTGACTAGAGCTTGACTCAAACCGATCAGATTTCTTTATATCTTGATAACAAGACGAATCTAATCGGCGGAAAATGTTAAAATAAACGTTAACGTTAAATACTTGGACATAATACAGGAAATAAAAAGGTTATATTCGTCTAAAACTAGTCAACATGCTACAAATTTAAAGTAGTACATAATAATACCATTCTTTTTCTTTGTGCTCCTCCACAAACCAATTCTCCGTTATAATAACGTTTAACATATATTAATAGTAATCATTATGGATATGTCAAAGGAATATCCGTTTTACAATAATCACTATCTTACAATTACAAATATATTTTTTATTTTATCTTTATATGTGTATTATCAAAGTTAATGTATTTTTTTTATTATTACAATCAATTTATATTTAACGTTATATTTTTACGATTATTTATTACTAGAATAATTTAACTTCTTTGGTCTACTAGCCTGTATGTTATCTTTTGTTCTTTGAACATTAACGTGAAATTATAAAGGAAGTAATAGGTACAAAAGTTTAATGATATAATAATTAAATATAACAACACTTATATTTTTGATATGTGGAAATAAAACACTATTTTTTTTTAATTAATTCATTTACGAATATTTTTTACAAATTCATTTTAAACTTTTATTGCATAACATTTTTTATAATATTTTTTTTTTAATATTGTCCACATATTCTTGTTATTAATCTCTTTTTACAAGCGAGATAGATATTTTTTTAAGATATAGATTTATTTATATGATACATTATCCAATTATATATTACTTTTGGAGTAAGAACACGTTTTGTACCAGTTTTTAGAACTAGTTTTGCTATTCCATTTTTCTATATCCAATATTTGTTTTATATCATAAGCAAAACTCATCAGGTTTTTATTAGAAAGCTGATTTAACCAGGAAAAGAACTTTTTAGTTTTCACTAGATATATAATTAAATCGATATAATTACCTCGTTATTCACAGTTAGTTACTTATATTTTAATTATTACTTGTAAGCTTATTATTTTTTTTTATTTTAATCATTCATTTAATTAGCTTAATCACTATCCGTGCTACTTTCAGCCGCATTCGGTACTTGTTCTGGTATAGTTGCTGGAGTTTTCGGAGTTACTGAAGTTGCCACTTCATAAGCCGCAGGACCTTGACCTTCCGTATGTTCAATTCCAACCCTAAATTAATATTATTCAAAGTTGTTAATAAAGCTATTATTTTACTCAATTTTCCTAGTTTTACCTATATTCGTGTCTCGCTAAATAACGAACGTATTTTTCTGGTGGTTCATCGCTATCGGAATTCTGCAAACTAACACTTCGAACTGTTGTGTGACTCACTTGAGTTGCTGGCATCGTAAATTCAACGTAACAATATTCAGCTAATTTTTCAGGCATCTGATCGTAACTGGTTAAAGCTAATCGGCAAACCATATTGTGTGTTGTATAAGCACCTAAAATCAATAATTTTGATAAGAATATGTAGATAACGATACATAGTCCCGACCGTATCACAACATAAAAGTTTTTAGGGGNCAGCTAATTTTTCAGGCATCTGATCGTAACTGGTTAAAGCTAACCGGCAAACCATATTGTGTGTTGTATAAGCACCTAAAATCAATAATTTTGATAAGAATATGTAGATAACGATACATAGTCCCGACCGTATCACAACATAAAAGTTTTTAGGGGAATTTAATGTAATATTTCTTAAATTTGCGCATTTTAATTAAAGGGGGAAAATTCAAATTTAGAATTATTGTACATAAAGTAGAACCTCTGTATACGACCATAATCCGTTTTTTACACTTGAACTTATACCGAATAAGACGTATATCGAACCAACCTTTCCCATATCAAGTAATGTAATAGTATATTAAAAAACAAGTTTCGTAAGACACGCTTGAAATGCACGAATTCAAGTTGAAGACTAGTGTAATAGGTTCATTACCGTCGTGAATTACAAAAAAATGATTATTCTAATTAAGACACTGTTTGTAAAAAACTCAACTTTATTATAGATTTTTAAAGTTATGATATTAAATTAATTATTTCAGCAATAATTATTAACCCTAATCCGGGCTTATGAGATATGTTATATAAAATCACGTGTAGTCAGAACAGAAACAAAGTTATTGAAGTAAAGCTTTATTTATTTATACAAATGTACAGGGTCAGCCAAACTCGACGCCCCACCTTTTTTATGGGAAGCAGGTAAAATTTTCGAAAGAAAAATGTATACCATTTTAAATAGTATCTTCTCAGCTTTAAGAAACATGCTTCACCGATACTCTTTTGTATCTTTGTTAGCGACCTACCCCGGTGCGAGGGCACTCAGTTAGCGATGTACGCCGACGATGTGTGCATCTACAGCAGATCTTGGTCCCCCGAGATCGCCGCTCGTAGACTGCAGACAGCATCGGATCAGCTGCAAGACTACTTCGCAAAGTGGCGGGTCAAAATCAACGCTGATAAAAGTACCGCAGTACTCTTTACTCGGCGTAGACAGAGACCCCCCGATGCGTTGGTACTGCGAGGGAACGAGCTTCCCTGGCATTCCGAAACCAGGTATTTGGGTGTCATTCTGGACTCTAAACTAACTTGGAAAAGTCACATCGAGGCCATGGCGAACCGGGCGAAGGTAGCTCTGGTCAATCTGTACGCTCTGATAAATCGCCGAAGTAAGTTGGATCCTCTCCGGAAGATTCGACTCTACAAAGCGGTTATCAGACCTGCGATGACATACGCTTCTTCAGTCTGGGGTTACGCCGCGCACTCGCACGTGCAAAAACTCCAAGTGGTTCAGAACAAGGTCCTAAGGATGGCATTCGATGCTCCTTGGTTTGTCAGTAATGCGACACTGCACAATGATTCCCAGATGGTGANATCGTAAATATTCTCAAAAATTTTAATTAATTTTCCATCGAATTCGCTCATTTTGTTGGCACAGAAATAAACAACTGTTGAGGTTAGGTTAGAACGCGCTATTTACATCGGCCGATCATTGGATACAGCCAGATACAGCTGATTGAGGTCGTCTTGCGCATGTGTGACGCTGTAAATTTAGAAAAGTTGACCAACTTTATATTTACAGCTAAATCTTACAGCTTTGTATAAACGATACATGGGGTTTCAATACATTTAACTCTTACAGCTAAATTTTTATATTTAAATATACAGCTAAATCGTCTGTATTCTTGGATAAGAAAGTTTTTTTATATCTCTAAATTAATATTGACGAGTGTTATCCAGATATATCTTCTATCATAGGTAGCCATGGACTAAAAATTTACTAATATAAAATAATAATATAATAGATCAGGAAGTTGGTTTACAAAACATTTTAATAAACTGAATAGTAACAAAATAACAACGAAATAAATGTATAGAACAATTTGTTGAGACAATCATAACATTTTTTTAAAACTTAAAACAACAAAATTTTGATTTTAATAAATCAAAACAACAGAAACATAATATGTTGCACCTACAAAGTGTGGTCAAGCTGACCGCCATTCGCCGCCAAACAGTGCTGAAACCGGCTTCTCACTTCATTATGAGTAACTTTTCTAAGAGTACGACTTATCGTATTACAAGCATCACGAATTTTTTATTTAAGATGTTCAACGTTGTTTGTGAGAGTACTGTATACAATGTTCTTGATTGTGCCCCATAAAAAGAAGTCCAGACAGCTTAAGGTCTGGTGACTTAGCTGGCCAACGCACTGGACCAGATTTTCCTATCCATCTCTCAGGATATACGCGGTTCATATATTGCGTAACAATTGCAGAATTGTGATAGGGCGCTCCATCCATTTGAAACCATACATTTTCCTGCATGAGAGGTATATCTTGCAATAAATCGGGCACTTCATTTTCTAAGAAATGGAGAAAGATTGGTCCATTAAAATTGTAATCGAAAAAATCTGGACCCACTAAATATCGATCGATTATGCCGCACTATACATTAATTCCAAAGTGGCCTTGATTTTCAACTTCATTAATCACATTAGGATTTTCAGTGGCCCAGTATCTTTCATTCTGCCTATTTGGAAGCCCATTACTTACAAATCGACTCTCATCAGTCCATAAAATGTTCTTATATATCCTTCTATTGTAGTCTTCCAATATGGCCATATCCGCTAAAAAATCTATGCGTTTATTACGGTTATCTTCATTTAAAAGCTGCAAGTTTCTTCAATTTGTATGCAAAATATCCGTTCTTCTTAAGTATTCGACGTATGGAGGAATAGTAAATATTTAATTGTTGACTTGCCATATTAACAGATGCTCTAGGATTATGTTCAAAAAACTGACAAACTTCAGCTACGACGCCATCATTGTATACGGTTTTTTTAATAGGAACATGTTTCCTACAGGAAAACGCGTCTGTATTTTTTCTTAAAATTTGTTCCAATCGGGTAAAAAACTTCTGGTCCGGAACAGCTCGGTCTGGATACTTTTCGCGATAAAGTCGGTCAGCAGCCCTTGAATTACGGCGAGCTTCACCGTAAATTAAAAGTATGCCAACCTTTTCCTGGTGATTTGCCATTTTTAAGAAACAAATGCAAGACTATTTGACACTGAATCAAATTAACAAATGTTCATACATTTTCAATCCATGGCTACCTATGATGGAAGAATTACTAGAATGATGCTCGTCAATATTAATTTACGTATCCCNTCAACCTTTTCCTGGTGATTTGCCATTTTTAAGAAACAAATGCAAGACTATTTGACACTGAATCAAATTAACAAATGTTCATACATTTTCAATCCATGGCTACCTATGATGGAAGAATTACTAGAATGATGCTCGTCAATATTAATTTACGTATCCCGCTTTATATATTAAAAAAAAAATGTGTTCGTAGAAAAAATAGTTTTACATGCGTCGCGACGCCTAGCGTCGCCGTCCAAAATTTGTAACGTCTGATGTTTCTTAAAGCTGAGAAGATACTATTTAAAATGGTATAAATTTTTTTTTCGAGTTTGTCCTCTTGTCGAGTTTGGCTGACCCTGTACGTTACAAACGTGAGGTTAAATATGAAAGTGAACATTATTGTTAAAAAAACATTATTGTTTATTGTTTTTAGGGATTAGAGAAGCATTTAGTGCACATTCTAATACTATGCTAATTACAGATATTATTTTTACAAGTAATACATATCATTGTGCTTTTACGATCAATACTTGCGGGACATACTGAGCATCTTTTTCTCTTAATTGTTGCACTTGTGTGAGCGGCTGGCGGGCCACATATATCAATAAATCTGCTCATACACTCCCGGACAGTACGCCGTAGATTAGGGTTAGTAGATCTTCTCTGCATATGTGGTATCACTAGTTCGTTCGCTAAATCTTTCAAAAACATTCTGCGTTTATGAGTCACTCCTATATTGTAGTTTGGATGTTCCTTCATAAAGACTATATATGCATTGAGTGCTGCAACATCAATGATGTTGAAGAAAAATGTCATGGGCCTTCGTTTACTTTGCCTCTTGCAAGTGTATGTCGTCACTATTTGATCCATGATGTCAACATCGCCCTTTGTTTTATTATAATGAGAGATGATTTCAGGCTTCCTCTTAGCGTTGTCATTGATAGATGCGTCGTGGTGTATGGTGCTTAGTAAAATTAAGCATTTGTTCTTTTTACGTGCGTAACTTACCTATGGATACGTTATTTTGAAAGCAAAACAATGAAGAGTAGACTACACGATCTTTTGAGGCTTTCATTTCTTTCGGAATGTCACGCTTATTCTGACGTAGTGTACCCACAAGAGTTTGTACTACTTCAAGCCCCATGTTTTTATGTGGAGGTTCTCCGGGCTGGCGACCAACATAAACTAAACCATCCAAAGCATAAGCAAACGTAGATTCACACATCCAAAATATTTTAAGTCCATATTTTGCCGGTTTACTTGGCATATATTGAACGAATGTTCATCTACCTCTAAACCCAACGAGTTGTTCATCAATAGTTACATTTGTATCAGGTATGATGCAGGTTTTGCATTGCTGAATGAATAAATCCCAAATGTAGGACACCATTGCTAACTTATCGGTTTCCAAACGCGCAGTCCGGGTTCTCTTGTCGTCAAATCTGACGAATCTTCATATTTCTTCAAAGCGAAATATGGACATTGTGGCTGGGTATACAGGATTGGCAAATTCATCACAAAATAATTCTCTCGCAGGAACATCCCAGCATCTGTCAACTCCCGCATGAATAAGTAAATCACAGAATGTAAGAAATTCATCAACAGTTACATCTTTCCACGGTTTTCCTTTTGCGCCATAAACACGTTTGCCCTCTAAATTAGTACAGTTCACAATTTCTTGTATAATAACTGACGTTACAAATAACTGAAACGCTTCTTTTGGTGTTGCAGCCATATGTTTCCTTGCTAGTCCTGGCGCACGCCGAATAATGTTGTGTGGTTGAATTTTATTTTTTGCTGGAGGTTCCAAACTCCATACCAGACCACTTGGAGCAATGTAACCGCTCGTTGAAGGCTTACCAATATTATCAACATCATCCTCTGAATTATCGTCACCATGATCAGAACTGGATGCAGAATACTCGTCAGGAACCAATTCGAAATTTCTA